AACAAAAGTTAAGTTGCTGAAAGCATGGAGGATTACTATTCAACTCACTATCAGCAACAAGGAGTATGTTGCTGATAGTACACCAATAATCACCATCAACTAGTCCCTCCTAACTTTTAGCAACACAAGCCATGTTGCTGAAACTAGATTTTCAGCAACATGGCTTATGTTGCTGAAAATGAGGCCAAATTCCGGTCATTGGTTTACCACTAATTTTTAGTAGTTTACCACTAATTTTTAGTAGTTTACCACTAATTTTCAGCAACATGAGCCATGTTACTGAAACCTCATCTTCAGCAACTTGGTTTATGTTGCTGAAGAGGGTGAGGAAATTCACCTCCCCTCCCCACCGGATTCCGGTGAAAGTTTTCAGCAACATAAGTTATGTTGCTGATACTTTTTTTTCAGTGACATAGCTTATGTTGCTGATATATTAGCAACATGATTTTGGTTGGTAATGTATTACCCATCAAGTCTTCTCCAACAAAACTTTTAACAACCAAACCCATGTTACTGAAGGACTTTCAGCAACATGGAAAGCACTTTCAGCAACATGCTTCCATGTTGCTGAAAGCTTGAATTTTAGTAGTGCCTAATGATCATTCATTTCAGTTAAACAAATAATCAACTATCACAAATTAAGCTTAAGTAGATCAATCCATAAATATGGATCATCTAGTTTATTATGACAAATACAATAACATAAATAAAATCAACAACTTTAGTCCTTAATAACTGCTTAGGAAGTTGACAAAAGCACAATGCTCCCTGATCTGCCCTTGCTCGCCTGTAAGAACTTCAATGTCTCCCATCTTCACCATCGACTCCGCAAACTGCCCAAAGAACGTTGATGAAGTAAGGAACTCTTGAACGATGTTGCGTGCGTCCTCGTTAGTAAGAAGCGCTGCATCGGACTGAAACAGACCCTTATGTTGCTCCAGGGTGACATAGTAGTGATTGTCGAAGTTCAGAGCGCTACCGGGGTCCATTGCGACGATCGTGGTGTTGTCGCTTAGGCTCTTGCATTGGGTCTTGAGGAAAGCAGCGTAGCTCGGATCCAATGAAGGGTCTTGGTCGCCTTTTCCAGTGAAGTTGTAGAGCCTTTTGCTAAAGGCATCGCAGTGCCCTACTCCGATTGTGTGTCCACCTGCATTTACATTAACACATTTAGCTATTAATTAATACTGTAGGAGTTTGAATTTCTGATTTTAACTAATTAAAAAGTTATGCACTTGAACCTGATAATACAACAAGGTCAAGCACGTCGAGGCCTTTTTTAGCAAAATTTTGTTTAAGGACGGTGAAGTTGGAGACAGAAGAAGGAATATTGCCCGAGACTTCAGAAGCTCGTGAAATGGTGCCATCTCTTCTACCAGTATACACTTTCCAGAGATTTCTTTTGTACTGAAAATATCAATTGTTCGAAGAAGGATAAAGCTATTAACATAGACATAAATTCAAAGGTTCAAACTTGTTGCAGTACCTGCATTGGAAGTGCAATCCGAAATGAGTGTATTTTTACTTACTTGGAATGAAACAGAATCTCTGGCAGCCAAAGCAAGAATATCAGCACAAGACACAACTCCTGGACATGCTTCCTCTACTTTTTCTTTTATATCATCAATCACGTCGAAACCCAACAAGGTCAGGTTCGGCGTTGCGGCCTTCTCTGCAGTGTTGTTAGCAGTTGAGTTCAACAAAATGGAACCATCACAACCCTATAAAAATTTTGGCAAAAAAAATGAGAGAATTATAATCACTTTAATTAATTAACTGGCATGATATGTTAATTAGCTTTGTTATACCCTAACAAAGCAGTCATGAAAGTGCAGTCTGAGGAGCCTGGCTGGTACGGTAGCGTTGGCCTTGACGTGTTCCCACGTTAAATTTTTTATAATCTCCTCGGCAAGAGGACAGCTGTGACAGTAGAAGTCCTCCTGGAGCCTGCCGGCTTCGGTGAACGCAAGAACTCCGAAAGCTAACATGCAAAGCAACAAAGAAACAAGATTCTTCATCTTGACAAGATAGAGATAATCAATAATCCAGTAGTTCTAGGTGGAGACTGTATGCTCTATATTGGAATGCAGAATGGAGAAGACATACCTTTGCCTTTTATAGATGTGGAGTAGGCATCTATCTTAACTAAGATCCAGCTAAGAGAAGAAACGTATAATAATTAATATTACTTGGAGAGAGAAGAAGATTCGATTTTTATAGTTGTATGTATCCACCAGGACCTTAATTAGCTTTGTCCTGTATATTCCGGTAAATGTATTTTTCTTTTCTCTATAGATATATTTATAAATGATAGAAGTTGTCAATGACACGTGTTTTGAGAGGTGATACTGATTGAGGTTAAGGCGTGCGTCAAGATAATATTAATTAATACCTCCAAGTCAATAGACATCTTAATTATTTGCAAGAAGGATCTGGAGAAAGAAAATCACGTGTTCGTTAAATGCTCAATAAAACAAAACTTATGGATGAGATGCTACAATTGGTGGGGGATTTTCCTATTTCTCCCCAACTCAATTGATTTATTTTGTGAAGCTTACAGTCAAAGGATTAAACAACTAGTAAAATCTGATATTTGATTCTTTATATTTTTGGTGATTACATGATCCATATGATTTATGAGGAATTCTATTATCCATAATTTACAACAATGGGATAAGGGTAAGACTTTTGATTTAATCCAAAGGGGGTCCTTTTGCTTGGATTAGGGGGAAGTATACTAACACAGTATTTCCTTTTTTTTCTTGGTGCATTTCTCCTTCTTTATGTGCTCAAGAAACTATTAGAAGATAGTGTTGATGTTCATAATTTTAGCCTCATTTTTTGTATTATGTTTTTATGCTTTTGTATTGTCCCTGAAGGAGTTTTCATATAATGTGACTTTATATTTATG